TTTTCTTGCAATTGCGAGTTTATATCTCGCAATTCTGATTTTTTTTTCTCGCAATTCTGACTGACTTTTTAACTCGCAATTGCGAGTTTATATCACGCAATTCCGAGAAAAAAAAGTCAGAATTGTGAGATAAAAAGACGCAATTACCTCTTTTATTTTTTATTCAGTGGCGGAAACGGGCTTCCATACAAAGGGTTCTAAAAATGTCTTCTTATAAAAAAAGTGTTCCCGTGGCTCAGTTTGTCCCAGGTTAGGGGTAAGTTAACTGACCATCTGATTCAAACCCATGTGAAATTTTAAAGATAATTTTCCTCTCTTAAAAACTAATTTAATAATCAAATTTCCTTTTATAACCAGTCATATTTCTTTTCTTAAAGCTAACAACATAAAACCAACCAAATTAAATTTAAATTTCAATCTTTAATTGTTTGCATTTCTGTTGTAACCTTCCCAAAAACAGACTAAACAGAGAGTTTGTTGTGTAAAATTAAATAAAAAATGAATTAGAATGAAGGAATAAATGTAGACTGATACTAATAAACATTTTAGTCAAAAGATTCCTGGCATGGCAGCTTTTCTGCAATGTCGAACAGGCCATTAGGGACTACAGGTGGAATGATATATGATTATAATGTGATGAAAATCATCTTCTGGTTCTTATCAGAGAAGGATTTGGTGAACATGTACTCTGTCCCTATCAAATAAACTACAAATAATATGGAAATATATGATAAACTAAACCAGTTGCATAATATCACATTAAAATACCAGTTATACTTAAGAGATTTTAACTTCAGTGCCTTATGGTGGGGTAAGTTAAAGGGGTCATATGATGCGATTTCAAGTTTTCCTTTCTCTTTGGAGTGTTACAAGCTGTTCGTGAATAGATAAGATCCCTGAAGTTGCAAAGACTAAAGTCTCAAAACCAAAGAGATATTCTTTATCAAAGTTAAGACTCTGCCACACCCCCCTAAAACGGCTCGTTCTAACACGCCCCCACATATCTAGGTCACTATGTGGGAATACTTTGCTATGACAATCTGGCGCTTCTGAATCAGCGACTGTAAGTATGTTTTGTTACTAGTTTAAGTATTTGCTATTGACTGTTCAAATGCGGAGTTTTGCGCATCGTGTGCGTGTGCGCGCGCGCACGTGTGTGTGAGAGAGAGAGAGACAGCGTCACATCACAGTAGAGTCAGCTGTCTTAACCACGGCTTGTGTACTGCATCATTACTGTGTCTGTTCCCCTTTCGGGCTTGAACTGATGGTAAAACTAATGACATTATTTACTGTCTTTACATTTATTTTGAAAGATGAAGCTTGCGATTATGGTAAGGGGCGTTACATTTCCGACGAGTGCTTGCGGTGTTCGGCCAATCACAATGCACTGGGTCAGCTGGCCAATCAGAGCAGACTGCGCTTTTCGGAAGGAGGGACTTTGTAGAAAACGAAGCGTTTGAGAGAGGCGGGGCATATAGGACCTACAATAATGTACAGTATTTGAAAAATAATGTGTTTTTTTGAACATTAAAGCATGTCAACATATTCTGTTACACCAAATACACAAAATAATGATGTTTAAAAAAGCATTTAAAATTTAAAATCACTTTTAAAAGCATTTAAAATCACCCCTTTAAAATGCTGGCTCAATTTACCCCACAGCATTTGGCTCACTTTGCCCCATAGCTGCCACTTTGGAAAAAACTAGCTAGCTTACCAATTCGGGCTAATATTTAGCTAAATCATTTCTTTGGTTTCATATGTTGCTAAATCACCTATGTGCATCATAAATATTTTTTGACCTGGATAAATTTGCTTTGGCGTTACAGCCATTATATCTTTTATGCTAAAATTTTACTTTGACAAGCCAAAAACAGTTTTTAAAGTAAATGGGTGCCTTCCACTAGCTTCTAGACTAAACTTTGTGTTAATGTTTGGTTTTATATGGCTTATTTAAATTATTATGAGGTTCCAACTGCAATAAATGATAGACCTTAAGCATAAATAAAATTAATATTTTTGCCTGAAACTAATTATGAAGAGTAGAAGTGTTGAGTAATATGGAAAAACAGTTCAGGTCCACTGCCACACATTGAATGATTTTATTGCAGCGCTGCAATTATATTTTGGTGAGAAGCACCAAAATCACACATTTAATTACATACAACTAATTGAAGAAATAGTGTTAAATAAGAATAATTAAAATGAAAGGAGCTGGACGTTTATTACTGATTCCACCCTTCAGAACTTCTTCTTTTCTTGTATTAAGGACTGTAAAAAGATGGACTAATGAAGCAGAGCAGGCACACTCCCTCTTTGAACTGTTGCCATCTGGTCGACGCTACAGAGCACTGAGCACCAGAACGGCCAGACACAGGAACAGTTTCTTCCCTCAGGCCATCCATCTCATGAACACTTGACAATAACTGTGGAACACACACTATTTATTCACTCATACACTTATTTATCTAACACACATACTCAGTCTACATTTCAATTTGCACATAATATACCTGTACATACAACTGTCTATCATAATATACCTGTACATACAATTGTCGATTTGTATATTTTTTATTCCTTATTTTACTTGTTCTATTTTTTTTTTATTCTTTTTTTTATTTGTGTTTTTTTGTTCCGTCACTGTCATTCTGTTACACTGTGGAACCTCTGTCACGAAAACAAATTCCTTGTATGTGTAAACATACCTGGCAATAAAGCTCATTCTGATTCTGATTCTGATTTCCATAACCCCGCTTTAACAGTTCAGCCTTCCACACAGCAAAGGGTTTTGTGTCAGTCTCCTCACAATACCAGTTGCCAAAATACTGGCGATGAGTTGACATTATTCTCTCTTTATTGCACTTTCTGCACTGGATAGCCTCTGATCTTCACACATAGTACTTCCTGGTATAAATGCCATCTTTTTCTTTCACCAGTTTTCTCTTCCAGTAGTACCGTGTGGTGTAAGGAACAGGAACCGAATGGGAACTCACTGTTGCTGGTGCATCAATCTTTTGTGCAGGTGTTAAAACCACCATCATTTGTTTTGACAGAGAAGGGCTGGAAAACAAAATGGGAAAAGTCAATGATGAGCCTGACTGGGTTTGAGCAGGAGCAGGTTGTTCTGTTGAGGGTTTTTCTTGTGTTGCGTTGTTTTCTGTCACAGTGTCTGGAGGCGAGTTTGAAATGAGAGGCTTGTCATCACAACTGTACTCCATACTATCCTCTTCTTTAATGGACGGAACCTTCTCTGGAGCCGTCATTTCTTTTGCCAGTGAGGATGTGATCAGAGGAAAGAGATCTTCTACCTGAAACTGGACACCTCGGCTTATCCTGGAAAAGATTCGAATGACTCACATTAATACCTAATGTTATGTGTATCTTGGAAATACCACCAAAATGTTGTGGAAAGCTGAGGTATATTTTGCATTCATTGATAGAGAAGCTTCTAACAGAGATGGGACGGGTTGCTGTGCGATTTTTCCAATCCCCAATGTCCTCTTGTTTGCAGCAGCCCTCACTTCCGACCACTTGGACATCAGTGGTTTCCATCTGTCTAATGATAAAACTACTGTCCTGGATTGCATTGCCAGTCTGCTGGTACAGGTACTCTAACCCAATCAGTTCACATGAAAAGGAGTTCTACGTTTTATTAAACTAGGGATAGTTCACATAAATATGAAAACTCTGTCATAATTAGGCATTCTCCTGTTGTTTTAAACCTGTATGACTATTTCCTTGTGCGAAACACAAAGGATATTTTGAAGAATGTTTGTTATTCCATTTAGTGTTAATATAACATTGAAATAAAATAAAATATACATTTTGGGTTTAGTAACTTAAGCAACTATCTTGGCCTTGGCTTGGCTTAGTGGCCTTGGCAACTATCTTGGCCAGGACACTCTTGAAAAAGAGATTTTTAATCTCAATGAGTTTCTTCCTGGTTAAATAAAGGTAAAGAAGAACCTAAAGTAGAAAAAAGAATTAACGTATAGATTTGGACTTCGCACATTTAGTCTACTTTTATTTTTTGATTTTGTGTCCTGTCTGCATTATCATGGTACCTTTAGGCTACCTGATGTTTCTTGCCTCTGGATTATCATTTCTTTTTCTAGACATACTTCTGTGTATGTGTGTGTTTTTTCACTGTGGGAGTGCATTATGTGCTGTGTATTTGTTAATCACATATAAAATAATGTCTTTGGAGACTTTTAATTGTCTGATGAAGAGACTGTGTGCTTGAAATGTAATCTTTGTGCGAGTGTCAATTTTTTACGAGCCATGGTGTGCCGGTGTGTGTTTATTTCTTTTTCTGCTTTAAGTTTCTTTTTGGTTGGGCACTTATGTTTTGTGTTTCCTTGGTAACTAACTGAAATAAAATTAAAATAATAATAATAATAATAAAACTGAACAAAACTAAAGCTAAACATAAATACATATAAAAAAAAAATAATACATACAATTTCTAAAATATAAACTAAAATTAAAACTGAAAATATAAAAACAAAAACAATACTATAATAGAATACAAATGTTACTAAAATAACACTGTTTCCATAGTATAGTGGGACGACATGAGGGTGAGTTTGTATTTTTGGAGAACTGTCGCTTCAGCTACAAGAAATTAATATCTAACTTACCTGTGTATTTACTTGTACTGATAGTAGACACAATGTTCTTTTTAAGCACTTCCTCTCTGAGCTGGTTGACAGCTTGCTGAAGAACCCCCATGCAAGTCTGAGGTGTCTGCAGGCCCTCTGAGGCTGTAGCAGTCGCTTCATTCCACCTGACCAATCCATCCAACAATCAATTTGTAGTAATGTAGAACAATTCGGCACCCCTGAAACATAATATACAAATTGCAAACATTGCATCACTTAGATACTGCAGTATAGAAAGATGTTTTGATTATGGTTATCTAGTTGTGATGTGCCACTTGCAATACTGCAAGCACATTGTTGACATTGCAACAACCCCAGACTTTTTAATGGTATAGTGTATGTACACTAAATCTAACAAAATTATTTTGATTGACTGATAATGTATTTACCTGGAATGAGCTGGTTCAGATGCTGGTGGAAGGATTCAATGGAGGTGGAACCTCTGACACATTTGTAGTTTGGCAGAAGGTGGCCTCCCTTCACCAATGTCCCAGTCTGCTCATACAGTTGTACACCAAGAGGATCCACTATACACGGTAAATGTTTCTTCTGGGAATCCCATACCTCAGCCATTGTATTGGAACTGAAGAGTGGCACTCCTGATGAGTCCCATCCCACCTCCCCATCATAGAGCCGAATGAGCACTGCAATGAGTTCTTCGATCTCCCTCGCGCCACATGTGGTTCGTCTACAGTGGAGGGCCAACTCATTTCTGCTGAGGTGATGCATTAGTTCGTTATCAGAAGGCTGGATGATCTCGGAACTGAGCTCGGTACGCTTCGCCTCCTTCAGCTGCTTCAGGTCCTCCTCATCCCATTTGAAAATACAGTGGCTGAGACTGTCCATGAAGGTTGCATATATCTGATGGGACCCTGATGTGCAGCCCGCAGCAATCCGTCACATGAACTCCGAGATGTCCAACCTGACCTCCATGTCCTTCCACTCTTTGAATGTTTTTCTGAAAGAGCCGGACCCACAGCAGTCTCTGTTGACATACAAAACCTCAGGAGGAGCCATCGCGGCTTCCTTGTACCTATTTATGATGCCAGAGAATCGCCTCAAGACATGATAACCTGCCTGTGTTCATTGGCGACACTGATCACCCAAGTTCCTGAGAAACTTCTTGGTGAAACCCATCTTTAGCACAAGGCCAAACTGCGAGGTTATGCTGGTTCATCTCATTCATTCTGTGAAGTACGTCCAGAGCGAACACTTGCCTCAACCAAAAGTGTTTGGGAAGAGGAATCATGGAAGGTGGGGTTTGAAACGTATAGGATGGGCAAAGCTTTTGCAATCTGTTAGATATTGTACAGTCTTTTGCAGCCAAACCTCAGTGTGATGTTCCTCTAGTTTCTCCTGGATTTGGCTGACGCTGGTTCCCAGACGTCTCTGACGGTTAAGGCGTACAACCTTCATGTCGCAAGACACCTGTAATGCAGGAATGCAAGGGAACTGGACTCTATGACCAAAATCAAGTTGTGACACTACATCATGACTCCAGCTAATCCCTTTCCGCTTGCATTTCCCACAAACCAGACGCTCGGATGCCATGAAGTATGACCCTTCAACATCAACTACCTGCCTGAGCTCCTGGTGCAGACCTGTTGACGTGAGCTCTTCCTTCAAGCAACCTGAATGTGGACAGGTAAGTTTAACGTTCCACAGCTTTTGTGGCATCCAGAGAAACAATGCATGCCTAAAGTAGCATCCCATCTCTGGCACTTCAGTTAAGGTAAGAGGTGGGAACGGTGGGTACCACCACATCCTATCCACCCTAGTATAGTCCATTTCAGGCTGCTTCTCTGGAGACCACCTGAACAGGGCCTTTGACACCCAGGTATGATTGGCAGGGGGCAAAGTGCAAATCCATCCCGGAGGAAGACAAATTCTTGTATCTGAAGCAATAAATACGATTAACTATTCGTGAACAAATACTCAAAAAGAAGGAGAACATTTAGATACTTACTACATATTTGTGACAGCAGCAGCTCAGAAGTTTCTTCAGGGGTGCAGCACTGACCTCCGGACACATCCTTTGCTTTCAAGATAGGGGACAAAGCAATTCTTTGCCTCCTATCTGATCTGCTTGGCTTCATGGCTTGAAATAAAAAGAAACCACTCTTATAAGAAAAATAATGCCAGTGTGAGAAATACATACTCATGTGACTTTTTGGAATCAGGGTGTTGATGCTGGTAATTCACAGTTCTGATGTTAAGACAACAATGAATTTATACCTTTTAACGAAAAACAACACTCTCACACTGTTAATGACTCTTTAAAGATTCAAATTTATGGTAATTAATTTCTAAGTTGAGTACACATTTGTTTCTAACAGCGTAGCGTTTAAATCACATTCTATAAATTAAAACTTAATCACAAAACTGACTTGTGTGATTCTGTTATTTTATAGCAATAAACATTAAATAAATATGAATGAAATCCAAATTAAAAGGGTGATTCTCACAAAACTTGTCAAGTTCACTTCACTCTAAAATCAAAAGAAAAAAAATGAGATTTTGCTCATTGAAAGAAAAAGAAGCCTAAACTTTTAGATTATGACATTATTTTCATGACAATTAAGCTCATTTCCCACCAAATTTATATTACCAAAAAAAAAAAAGAAAAAAAAAAACCCGTCATGGTAGTATTTGTTGTACTGCCTTTAAAACTATTTAGCATACCATTGATTTAGTAATATACAGTTAAAAACTACTGTATTTCTGTAATGAAAATCATTATTGAGAATAGTGAAAGTAAAATGTCAAGATACACAGAGTAATGGGGGAAATAAAGTTGAGTTGAAAACAAAATCTTAGGCTTAAAATTATTTTTTTTTCTTATATTTTGCTGTAAAACAGAAATTTTGACAGGCTTTGAAATTGCGACATTCACCAAAAAGGTCCTAATATATTCTACAATTCTTATATCTTCAATGAGTCATCATCTCTTTTAATTACTCTAAGCAATTTACATCAAGAGTTGAGGAATGGAATAAGAACTGCCAGATTCGAACCCAAGTCTCAAGTGTGACGCCCAGCATGCGCCAAGAGTACCTGAGGTAAGTTGCTGAGAATCGCTGCATTAAACAATTATACTAATTTAATTATTTATATTGGCAGCCTGGCAGGGTTGAGAAACCCGCTAAACTTACTTCAAACTACAGCATGTCCATAATAACAGCCACAGTATCCTATCCCAGTAAGTAATGAGAAACAGATCATCTTATCTTTGCCAACGTGACAAAAATGCACAAGTTTAAAATCGAGCCACAAAATTAATATAACAAAAAAAAAAAAAGAAAAAAAAAAACCCGTCATGGTAGTATTTGTTGTACTGCCTTTAAAACTATTTAGCATACCATTGATTTAGTAATATACAGTTAAAAACTACTGTATTTCTGTAATGAAAATCATTATTGAGAATAGTGAAAGTAAAATGTCAAGATACACAGAGTAATGGGGGAAATAAAGTTGAGTTGAAAACAAAATCTTAGGCTTAAAATTATTTTTTTTTCTTATATTTTGCTGTAAAACAGAAATTTTGACAGGCTTTGAAATTGCGACATTCACCAAAAAGGTCCTAATATATTCTACAATTCTTATATCTTCAATGAGTCATCATCTCTTTTAATTACTCTAAGCAATTTACATCAAGAGTTGAGGAATGGAATAAGAACTGCCAGATTCGAACCCAAGTCTCAAGTGTGACGCCCAGCATGCGCCAAGAGTACCTGAGGTAAGTTGCTGAGAATCGCTGCATTAAACAATTATACTAATTTAATTATTTATATTGGCAGCCTGGCAGGGTTGAGAAACCCGCTAAACTTACTTCAAACTACAGCATGTCCATAATAACAGCCACAGTATCCTATCCCAGTAAGTAATGAGAAACAGATCATCTTATCTTTGCCAACGTGACAAAAATGCACAAGTTTAAAATCGAGGTTGTCTAAAAGCTGAAGCGTTTATAGCCGCTTTTCCACTATCGGGCCAAACGGTTCTCTTTTGGCGCTTTTCCATTGCGTGGTACGGCTCAGTACGGCACGGCACGGTTCGGCACGGTTTGCGTTTCCACTGCAGTTCAGTACCGCTTTAGAGTGGGCGGGATTATTCACATGTCGTTATAGTTGTGCCGCCTCTACTACCACGACTCCTAAAAAAAAATTTCATTCCGCGTCGCCCCATCAAGCTCTCGCTGGATCCGCTCCTCTGCTATCAACGAGAGGAACGTCTGTTCTTCCGCAACAGACAACAAAACTTTTTGGTTGTTAAAAAAAGGTGCGCTCGTTCAAAACAGTTGCGTTCGATCCTTCGCTGGCTGTGCTGATTTAAATCTAGCGGTTCTGTTGTGTTTGTGTTCACTGTCCAAGTTCAGTGACGCAGGTAGTTACGATTCTCTCCGGTCAATCTGTGATCAGCAGAGTTTACATGTCACGTTTTGGTAACGGTACGGTTCACTTGGAACCCCAACCGAGGTGGTACTAAAAAAAGTACCAGGTACCAGGTACTGTACCCAGTGGAAAACCCCCAAAAGTGAACCGTACCGAGCCATACCATGCAGTGGAAAAGCGCCATTTGCCTAACCATTCCATTCCGTGCCATTCCGGGCCAGTCAGCACGGATACGGTTTAATTTTCATAACGGAGTTCTTTGGAATGTAATACAAATGCGTCATTCGTTGTCTTGGTAACGCAAGTGTAATGTAAACAGCGATATGGACCATGATCAGATATTTCTGTTTTTGGGACTCCTTTTTTATCCAATATTTACTTCGTTAAATAACAGAAAAAAAGCTTAGCCAGCTATGGAGAAACTGGTAGCCAGGCAACAGAGTGGCGACGTCACGCACACGCACTCTACCAGCACGGCTCAGCACGGTTGTCTAACCGGGCCGAGAACGATTTGTAATCGTGCCACGCCGTACCAGGCTCACGTAGAAATACAACTGGAACCGTACCTGACAGTTCTCAGAACCGTTCGGCCCGATAGTGGAAAAGCGGCTTAGGATGTCAACGTCAAAACAAGCGGGTTGATCGAGGCCTAACAGCGGCGTTGATTGGCTGATTTTTGGTATGGTTTTTCCAATCTTGTGATTGGCTCATCATTTCTGCTTAAAAGAACCCTATTATGCCCCTTTTTACAATATGTAATATAAGTCTCGGGTGTCTCCAGAATGTGTCTGTTAAGTTTCAGCTCAAAATAGCCCATTTTGAAACTGCAGTGGAAGCAGTAACAGTTTTCGTGCCTGTATCTTTAAATGCAAATGAGCTGCTGCTTCCCACCCCCTTTTCCAGAATAGGGCTGTGCCTTTGCAGCTAGGGATGGGCCATACCACTTATTTTATTTTCGATCCGATACCGATATTTTCAAGCCCAGTATCGTCGATATCGATACCGATACTTCTAAACTAAACTGATCTTTTAAATTAAAAGAATATATAATCAGTAATTATACTCACTTAATATTAGATTTTAAAGCCGTGTTTTTTTAACATTTCATAGGCCTTTTTTGTTTACACTGTCAGAAAT